GGGGGGGGAGCCGTGAGGCGCCGGAGGTGTCGGGGGCACCCGGACCGGGTGAGGGATCTGAGGGGTCTCAGTGCTGCTGGGGGAGGGCAGAGTGATGGTGGGGGCCCCGGTGGTGGGTGTCCCAGTGCTGGAGGAGTCAGTGCGATAGCAGGAAGAGGGGCGGTGTGGTGCTGCAGGGATCTTGGTGCTGGGCCCCTTACCAAAAGGTGGGTGCCTAATGCAGTATTGGGGGGAAACGTGGTGCCAGGGGAGTCCCAGTGCTGGGGGCCCTGGTGTGATGCCAGGGAGGGGGACAGTGTGGTGCTGGACCCAGTGCAAAGGGTCAGGGTGTCTAGTGGGTTGGGAGCCTGGTGTGGTGCTGAGGTGCAGTGGTGGGCGTGCAGGGCACTGTCTTGACAGATAAACCCCCCAGTACTAGAGGAGGGGACAGTGTGGGGCAGTGTCCTCTGTCAGCCCTGCTGTGGGAGCGGGACAAACAGGATGACAGCCTTCCCTCCCCACCCCAGACAGCTCTGTCCCATGCTGGGGAACCGAGAGGTGCCAGGCAGGAAAGAGCGTCATCCCCCAGTCTGGGTCTTTGTTGCCTCCTCCTGCTCAGCAAAGGGTGGTTGTGTCCCTCCTGTTCCAGCGCAGGGATCCTGTGTGAGACTGGCAGGGAGGGGCTGCCTGTAGAACATAAAGCCCTGCTCCTGTAGTTGAAAGCTGCAGGCAATGAGAGATTCTCACTAGGAGACTTAGGTCCACTCCCAGAGATCTAGATCCCCTCCCGGATCTTTGTGCAGTTGTGCCAGGTACTCCAGGCCCTGTGGCACGCTGGGCTCGTGGGCAGGGTCTCAGCAGCATGTCTGTCCTATTGTAGCCAGGTCCTAATGAAAGGAAGTCGGAGCTGCTGCCCGCCGGCTGGGAGGCCAACAAGGAGGTGTATACACTGCGCTACAAGTCCACAGATGATGCCCATGAGCTGCTGCTGAAGGCCATCATGGTGGAAGACAGTATGATTCTCAACGTCATGGTGAGCACCCAGGCTGGTTCCTGCACGTTTGGGGTCCTTCAGGTGAAGCAGGTGCTGCCACCCAAAATACGCAAAGAACAGATGGCCCACTTTCTTAAATTTTTGCTCTTACTTGTTCTACTTTGCAGTGATGTTTGTCCCTCAGGATGGGGCAGATGCAGGGGGTGTTAAGGGTTGCAGACCTGCCTGTGCAGCAGACATGACCCAGCGTGAAGCTGGTGAAACACTAGCTGCATTGGGGCAGCGATGCAGTTTGCCTTGAACACTCTGGCCCCTTCTGTGTCCCCTTTCCTAGCTCAGAATGTCTGCAGATCTCTTCTTCTGTCCCCCGCAAGCACCTGCCCAGGGTGTTTTTGCTCAGTCTTTCACACTTTGCAGCCCAGACAGGGGGAGTGAGCAGGTAGAGCCTTGCTGTACACTGGAGTTTGCTTGCTCCTGGGGACTCGAGTGTAGCACAGGGACAGCTGAGCCTGTTCCTTGTGTCCCAAGCCTCCAGGCTCCTGGCTGTGATTATACCTGCTTCTTCCATAATTCTCTGCTCTGCCAGGCTGCTCACTGTGTGCTTTACCTGTCTTTTGCCAGGATTGCAGTTCTCAGAAGGTGGCAGGTGTGACCTTGGCAGTGGCCGACTACATCAACCCAGAGCACCTGGACGATTTCCACAAGTAATCTCAGTTTCCTGGCATTTTTTGTGGGAGAAGATGTTCCATGGTCAGGGGGAGGGGTCCAGAGACCAGGTTAGGAGGAGCCTGGAGTACAAACCATGGGGGCAGGCCCGCCAGCCCTGAAATGCAGCCAGAGCTGCCTCCCCTGCCTTGCTCTCTACTGCTGGCAGGCAAGAGAGATTTAGAGGATAGTGGGACCGTGGGTCAGAGCCCAGGGGAGAGCCACCCCACCTTGGAACGGGCTGGGCCAGCCCAGCACTTTTCTGCCTGCCTGTCTGTGCTGGGTGGACACTCCCCAGTGGTGCTACAGCTTCAGCCATGGACCGGACACTCTTTGGCCTTGCTAAAGACCACATGCTGTGGTTTCCTCCACTGCAAACTGGTTGGGTTGTGGCCACAGCACAAGGGATTTCCCTGGGTTGGGTGGCACCTCTGCCATCTTAAATGGGGTGAGGGCTTTGGTGCCACTGAGTGATGTTACCCTTTCCTGTCCTCTCTGTGCTGCCAGCTTGGGACACATTTTGTGCCAGGGATGCTTTGGGCTTGTCTGTCCCCTCACTGTACCTCTTGCAGCCTGTCCAGCACCTCACCAGCCAGGTGAGGTGTGGCCTCTTCAGGTCACCTCCTCACGTCTCCTCCCTGCAGGGTGTACAAGAACACTGAGGAGCTGAGGACAAGGATTGCTTCGGGCATCATTACTCCTCTCAGTGCCCCTGCAGAAAAGACCAAAAAGGAGCCCAAGGCTGAGAAGAAAGATACTGACTTGCCTCGGGATTATGACCCCCTCAGGGTCCCTCCCCGGCAGCCAGCAGGCACGAGAGCACTATCCTGGTGAGTAAAGAGCGGGTGGCTGCTGACAGTCCTCCATTAGAAGGGACGTGGTCCTGGCACAGGTCTCCAAACTTCATCTCGCGTCTCCGTCTTGCACACGTGGGATAGGGAGCAAGGGGGATTCAGAGCCTCCCCAGCCAAACTCAGCCTTGTTGGCCACATGCTTGGGTTTGATTTAAGGTGCCCACTGAGGGGTGGCCTGTTCTGGAGCTGTGTGTTGGTTTGACCCTCCTTTGGCATAGCCTGGGGGTCCAGCTGGAGACCTACAGCCCCAGAGAGAGAGAGGGCAGCATGCAGGGCTTGGGGGGCAGCTGAAGGGTGGAAGGAGGGAGACCCTGCTCTGTGCTAGCTGAAGGAACATCAGGGTTCCGGGGCTGGCAGAGCAGGGACAGCAGTGGGAAGGACAGTACCGTTGTGGGACCAAGCAGCCTCTGGGAGAGACTCCAGAGCGCTGGGTGTCAGATTGAGCCTTGGGCTCCATCAGAGCTGTGGGGTTTGTGCTCATGGCAGAGGGAGGGGGGCGTGTGGTGGGTGCAGAGCTCTGCCTTCGCTTGGCACAGAGCTGGGGCTGCCTCTAAGCCTCCTGCCTGCTGTGGCCAGTAAAGCTGCACTTCCAGGATGTACACCCAGCCAGAGCTTGGGGTCAGCCCAGGAGGTGCAGGTTTGGTGGAGAGCAACAGAGACCTCTTCTCCTTGCTCTCCTGATCCCACTTTCCCTTTGAAACCCTTTGCTGGCAAAGCTGGGGAGAGGGGACACATGGCACCCACTTCACCATGCCTCCCTGGCCCCTTTGTGCTCAGCCATCCCTCATACGTGGCAGGCGGGCTCCCCCCTCTCTCTCCCCACAAGCTGTAATCCCCTTTGGCTGGAAGTCAGAGACATTGCGGTGGCTCTGCCTTCTCTTGGGGACCGGCCATGGCCTCTGCCTTGCGTGTCACCTCTTACTTCTTTAACCCCACTGCTGTCTGCTGGTGCTCAGGGCTGCTCAGGGTGCACGATGCTCCTCGGGGAGGCCTGGGCAGACAGGCTGGAGCTGGGCACGGCTCTGAAACCATGTTATTGGCACATACTATTGGCAAGGAGATGTGACAGCTGGCTGCAGGCTCAGCGCCCCACTGTCCTCGCACTCCTGGAAGCAGGGCCGTCATTGTGTCTCCGACTGGGACATACTGGAGAGCCTGGCCTCGCCTGGCACCACTCAGGGAGCCCCTGGCATGGAAACTCCCAGAGTCCACAGACAGCGCCAGCCCAGAGCAATGGCAACAGCCCTTCATCTCAGCAAGCTTCCCGCAAGCCTGCCACGCACACCGGTGTCCACACCCAGCTGCACCCTGGAGCAGGGAATGCTGTGTTCTGGGCATGGGTGATTCCCAACATCAGCTTGCTCACACAGGGTCCTGCAGGTCCTGGGACCCTTTGGGTGCTGCAGTGCTTGCCGTGGGAGAGCACCCATGAGCACGGCTGGCTGCACTGCCCTGCCTGCTTGCTCGCTTCTGCTCGTTCCACGCAACCAGTCTCCCCTTCACCAAATGCCTGTTCTGTGTTTCAGGCCTTCCCCCTTGAGTCCCTTTGCTGTTGGTGGGGAAGACCTGGACCCTTTTGGGTGAGTATGGCTGGGAGAGGTCATGCTTTGCGTGCCTGGGGAGCATCCCCTGCTCTGCCCTTGGGATGTGTGGGGGTCACTGGGGACCTTCTCTGGAACAGCTGGAGTCCGCCTGGCTTAGGCGTGCAGCAAAGTGTCTCTGAGTGCAGACGACGATGGGACAGTTGCTCAGTGCAAATTGCAAGGGACCAATTGACAGTTGCTAAACCTCAGTATGGTTCTAATATCGTAATAAGATCCCGTCTCTTCCATAGATGATAGGTTGCAATCTGCGTCTGTTTAATAATCAGCTTGTATTCATTTAACATGCAGTAATTCCTTCAGTAAATCAAAGCTGAATACATCATTAAGTGAATGTAAGCCTCTAATTTAAAATGTTACCAGCTGCTGTGTCTACAGCCCAGCAGTCTGGAGAAGGGGAGGCTTAAAGCCGAGTCCACGGATTCTCGAGTCCTGGTTGTGAGCCTCCCGGCTGTCTGAAGCACTTGAGAGAGAACGCCTGGGTAGAAGCAGGGCTGTCTGGGGGACTGATCTTCACTGATACATCTCTGGGTCTTTGGTTTGGTTGGGCAAGGAGAACCTGTCATTTTCCATTCCAGTTAAAAGCACATAGTCAGACAAAAAACAGCTCTTGGAGTCATTGCAGAGCGTCCTGCGGCCCAGGGGAGTCCTCTTTGGAACCACTCTCCTGTGAGGATCGCATATTTTCCCCTCTTGCAAGACTTGGTTCTCCATGGGTTTGGCTAGAAAAGGGCCAGCTAAAAACGTCCTGCCTGGCTGGAAGGAGAGGCCTGGAGCCTGGGTGGCTGGAAGGAAACCTGATAGCACGAGGAGAGGGGGTTCAGTTGTGGGGGGGGGGGATGCTGTTTCTCTTGCTACCTCCAGCCCTTCATCAGAAGTTTCTCTGTAAATGACAAAAAAAGATTGTAAATGGAAGCAGATTTGTGTGCTGACACCTGCCAGTGCTGGGGCTGGAGACCCAGACTCCCAGGCATATGCTCGTGGGGCCTGGCTGTCCCGGGGCACTTTGGGCAGCCGGCCTGGCGTAATGGAACTCATTAGCGCGGTTGTTAATGACTTGTATGATGGCAGCGGTGTCCAGAGGCTCCAGCCGAGTTTGCACAAAGCCGACCATGAGAAATGGCACTCACAGCGTGGGGCAGCTCCGAGGAGCCGCCGTGGTCAGCAAATGACTTCCAGGCAGCTCTTCTCTCTTGCAACACTGCGCAGGGCAGGACGTGCTGCTCACCCGGAGAGCAGAGATGGGAGTACGAGCCAGCAGCGAGGGCCAGCGGGTCTGATGCTTCCCCCAGACATAGTCAGCAGCACACCAGGATTTACCAGCCATTGCTGATGCCCTAAATGGCTCCTTGAAGGAACCAGGGGAAGAGGAAAGCTGCCACTCCGCTGCTCTGAGTGTCTGTTTTGGCATTGGTTCTGGGGAAGGCAGGCGGGCGAGGGCTGTTGCTTCCCTGTGCATGTCTCCAGCGAGGCTCTGGGGTATGCTGGCGCAGTGGTGCGCCGGATGTGGGTGTTTGCTGGTGCCCTGGCTTGGACACGTGCTCTGCAGCAGTAAGACTCCTACCTTAGCATGATGATGAGCCATGATTTGTGTCCTGCCCCTGACCTTGTGTTGTGCTGTAGTGCAGGCAGGTCTGCAGGGCTGTGATATCCCTGGGCAGGAGCAGGGTGTGATGCATTTGGGTTCCGTCCTGTTGCAGACAGCAGCCTCCATGGGACAGGAATCAGATGTGCCCCAGCACTCTTACACTTGCACATGTACACCCATGAAGGGCTCTCTGTCTTGTTGCCGTGTGCTCGCCTCACTGGCTTCTCCTCGCCCGTGTTGCGGTGAGGTGCTTTCCTTCCCACGTGCTGTGTG